CCTTAATAGACAGAGTAGTATTTATAGACAGCACATGGCAACAGTGTCATCAGATAATAACTGTAAGTACATCCACACCCCTTAGCTTCATTCTTCCAAGTTTTGAATGTAATTTGGAAATATTTTGGATTCTATAGTCATATGATGCTAGAGCCTTAAAGGGCGCAGAATCTTCTATATCTAAGCATTTATTTAAAACACCTTGGAGATGCAGTAATACAATGGCCACTATAGCAGACAAAGTTAGGGCCACAGGAAACCCTTAGTTGCACTCTCCACCAAGGAGAAATACTGTAATGTGTGCAGCTCACATCACTGGAACGATGGAACAAAAACCAGACAAAGTGTTAACATGGCTGCTATTCAGTTCTTATTACATCAATTCATGCTTTCTCTTTTGTAACAATAATCCTTTCTTCAAGGACGAGAAGTTGAAAGAACTTCAAAGAGTAAAACTTGAAAAAGCTGTAACACACTTTTGGAGGTAGGCAAATAACTTTTTTGTATGACAAAATGTAAAATTGTAAGTTGTTTGTAAGAGCCTCTCAAAAGAAATTCATGGCTATCAGGAACAACAATAATTTAATATAATTTTAACACACTGGTCACACAAGGGATCTTTATCAGCTTTAACGTCCTACATGTAATTTATAATGATTTACTTCTGGAGTGTTACTGATGTTTATAGGCCTCAGAGGAAGCCTGAAACATGCCTGGCCACCATTGAAGCTGTTTACTACTTTTTCAAGGAATATGATCAGCACATTTTAAAAAGGTTTGAAAATGCTTCCACTGTACCATATCTGTGTAAAAAAAAATCCTCCCCTAATTTTGCCCTGTCAAATAAGCGCTCAGGGCAAAAATTGTTTTAAAAATAGACTAGCAAGCGCAGCCCACAAATATCATTGTTCTCCCCCCCTCCCTCCAATCCCCAATCAACAATGCTGCCCTTGCTGGAAGTACTTAATGAGCTCTTTTTTTCAAAAAGAGTGTTTTGAAATAA